GAGTCAGCTTTTAGGTGCCAGAAATAGCTTTTCTGGGACGCAATTAAATGGCGTCCGTTGATAATTGGTTCTGACTACAAGCAAAGGCAAGTGAATCAGTGACAACTGACAATCCTTTCGTGAGTTCTGATCGAACTGGATCAGGAAGCCAGGACGAGCTAGGACGTCGATCAGACCTATAGGTAAGTAGGATGGTAGTGATTTATTTTTGTTGTGTTGTGTTGTGTCACTGAAATGTGGTGATGCGTTGTCCCGTGTCCGAAATCTGAAAGGTCCGAAGTTTGAAAGGTTCCAGAGTCCGAAATTCGAAAGGTCAGTTTCTTAACATCCTAGCCTCATTCCCAATTTGTTTAGGCCTAAAGAGGTGATGAGAAAACGTCAAAAAGTACCTTCTGTTACAAGATTATTTGTAAAAAAAAAAAAATGGTGAGAGCTAGACATAGCGTAGGTGACAACTTTTGAATTTTATTCACCTCTGGCACCCGGCTACGGGCGAGCTCGGCTTACGGACAATCCCAAATGGGATAAAGTTTCCCGTCCAGTCCGGATCAGGGGGAATTGCGGCCTGGAGGAGGATTTGACTTTCCCGAGGATATTTTGAATACAGAAGTTCTTTATGAAACATACAACATGCATTTTATATTATTTTAACGGTCAAAACAGCGGCCGATGTCGGTCCGACGTCGGCCCGACATCGGCTGGACCTCAGCAATCGCTGGACCTCGGCTGGACGTCGGTACATGCGGGCGTACCCGACATCAAGCCGACGTCGTGCCGAGGTCGGACAGACGTCGGCATGTTTACTGGGATTATAGTTCATTCGATGTGCCTTGACGAGAGGAACACGATGCCGGTAAAAGTAAGCTCGTGCAATGCTTGAGTGAAAAGTTATGGCAGTAAAACTGTTTTCAAGAAAAAATCGGCTATTTTGACAGTTTCTGCCCCCTGCAGGCAAAACCGTTGACGCTAGGTCAACTCTGAGTGAGTTATTCAGAAAGGCCGTTAATAGGGTTATCGAATGCACTTTTCCGCGGCGCTGTAGCTCTATTGGTTCCCGAGTTATGCGTTGGCTTCTTGGAAATTGTCGACATTTGACCTGAAAATCGGCGAAATTTTGCCTTCAATGACCTTTGGAGATCTGACCAAAAAAGTGACCGAGTTAATTTCGTCATTATTTTCAGCGCTCTTTCGAACGCCGCCTTCTGCGTATCGCTACGTGGCCCAGGAGCCGAGTTAGATGGGGGATGTTCAAACACCCCTCCCCCCAGCAGGGCGTGAAAATCCAGGACCCCAGCGGGGCGCGGGTTAAAAATGGCAAAATCAGCATTGACGATAAGCCAGGTCTTTTCGCCAACTGAGCACACCAACTCCTGATAAGGTGGAGAGAGTGGACAATCCGATCAGGAACAGCCGCCGAATGTTGCGTGATTTGGCTGAGCGAGTGGGCTACTTGACTGGAACAATCGTGAATATTGTCAACCAGCTAATCAGAATCGCCATACACCACGACAATGCCCGGCCACCCACGGCCCACGCCCCGTGCCAGGAGATTGCGAGACTGGGATGGACAATCATGTCCCAGCCGCCCTACAGTCTGGACCTCGCCCCATCATATTTTCATCTGTTTGGTCCCTTGAAGGATGAGCTTCGTGGCCACCACTTCCAGACCGATGCTGAGGTGAAGGGCGCCGTGAGACAGTGGGCGAAGAAGACAGAGAGCCCGTTTTTCCGAACGGGATTTTGGTGTTAGTGTGAGCGCTGGAAAAAGTGTGTTCAGGCTCATGGTTACTGGTTTGACGTGTACACCGTCAAGAGAAATGTTACACCATAAACATGTCAAAATTTGAAGGTACTGGGTAAAAAAAAAGTTATGACCAATTGTCTATTAGGTACTCATTGAACAACCTAATATATTTTGTACATAAAGTTGCTCTTATCAATCTTTTAAAGTTTCAAAGCGATCGGTCACTCGGTGTAGCTTTGGCAGACATTCACACTTTTTATGTAGTGATGTCACTTGACCTGACCTGGTGACCTGACCTAAACCCGGCCGGGCCTGAGGGTAATCCCAACCACCGCAGCCCAGGGGGGCGTTTTTCGCCTTCCCCCTGTCTAACTCTGTAATTTAGGGAGCTACGGAAACAAAAGCGATACCAAACGAAATATCCGTACGAGACGATTCTAAAGCACCTAAAAATTTTGACCTCGGTCAATTTTCAAGGTCAGAACTCAGAAGTCGAGGTCAAAGGCAAAAACCGACACATATGTAGTGATCTCAAATTAAGCGTTCTATGAGGACGGCAGGATGCATAAAACCGGCAAAATTGGGTGTCAAACAAAAGAAGAGAATCTGAGGATTCCGAAAATGTGCTTAAATTCAGAGATCAAGGTCAAGGTCATGCTCAAAATTGATCTCAAACTTAGCACGTTTTCGTACATCCTGCGTGCTAACTTCCAAGATGTTTTGAAATGTTTTCATGCTTATCAGGTCCCTATTTGTGGTTCATCTTACGATACAAGGCTGCTCAAAGGTCAAGGTCACAGAAGAGTATCCTTGCTAGAGGTTATTTCACTGATTGAAGTTAGTAATAATAAAAAAGACAGTTTTGCCATCCGGATGCTCTAAATGAAGGCTTAGAGGAAAATAGATACCAGATTCGTGATCAGCGGGTACGAATCCATCATAAACGGCCTTTCATGTGTCAAGGTCAACCAAAGGTCATTCGAGGTCACATGAGGTCAGCAGCATGAAAACTGACCTCTTCCAAACAAAATATACATATCATTCGACGCGGCTTGACAAGGCGAATTCAATGGTACCACTGCTGTAGCTCTATGACCATTTTTGTCGAAGTTATATGCGAAAAACTAAAACCACATCTCGAGGTCGTTTACCTGACCTCTGACCTCAGGTCACCGAAACTATTTTTCTATTTTTCTCTAGGTCAAACGCTACACAACCGTGCCCGTAATTTGTCTTTATCTCCAAAACTATATTTTAGCAGCTATGTGAAGTTCGCGTCTGTGACGCCGAGGTTTGACGTGCAGGGGTCTAGCAAAATCGACCCTGGGACGTCATCAAGGGAGTAAGGTCCAATTTTTTTACTTCAGAAGATGTCAAATTGATGGGAGAAAAGGTACTGAAAGTTTCGCTTTCTTTGGCGCTCGGGAGCTATCGCAAATATTCGCCCGGGGGGGGAGGGACAAAAACGCCCCCGGGCCCGCGAGTGCTAAGTGACCTGGGCCTGAAATTTTCACAACATATGTAGAAAAGATGTATAATAAGGTGTGCCAAAAACGGCGCGCCACCATTTTTGAGATATTCGCGAAAAAAACGCAGGGTCAACCGCAGGTTCAAACAACTCCCCCCCCCCCGCCCAGCAGGGCGCGGGCTAAAGACGATAATGTGGCTTGCCTAAGCCAATGTTTGATGACGTATATCTCGGAAACGTGACGTCATATCATCGACAAAAAATTTCTCCCTTTTTCACATATAGATGAGAACTTTCATAGAGTTTCGCAAAAATCGGAGGAGGTGAGGTTCAAAATGGTCATTTTTGTTGCACAATTTTACTGCAGCATTATAACATTTTTTTTTAGCTTTATCGGTGTTTATTTTCCGAATACACGGTGTGCCGAGCGACACGAACACATCCCACGTGACACGATGACACGACGCGGCGTGGCGCGTACATCACAACAGCATGGAGGAACTCCTTCCTCCATGACAACAGCCTGGCCGCCGCTCGGCACTAGCTACCGACCTGGGAATGTATATGGGGTCGCCCGCCGGCCGAATACCACAGACTCCCGGAGTCGCCGGGACGCGGCGACAGCACGCAAATCATGACAACTAAGTATGGACCCTGAACCAAGACGAGAGCACTGCTATGGGCTCTAAAAACAATGCATAAATGCATTAAATAATCCATAGCAGAGCAAACAAAACAATAACAAAATAACTGCGCCATGATTCCAGTCATATCTTTTTTTTAATTTTTTTTACACGTGACCGCAACAAAACGAAATACGCGGAACGCAAAAACAAGAGCAGCTCACAATGAAAACGAAATAGCAGTGAATGGAACATAATGACAAAAAAGAGCGTTTGAAAGTAGAGGTAAAGCGGAAGGACCGAACAGGCGGGTCCCCGGCGGCAGCGGCGGCAGCGGCGGCAGCTGCAGCAGCCGATCACCCGCCAGCGCCAGCGGCAGCGGCAGCGACAGCCGGGCGGGCGCCGCGCTCACCCCTCAATATCGGAATAGTTAATGGCCGTCTCCAGACCGGCGCGTGGGCCAGCCGGCGCACGCCCCCGCAGCCAGCCCGCCGCCAGCATCATCTTGGGGAACGCTGAAAGATAGAGGACTGGATTCGATTCTATAGCATTATAACAATATTACGATGAATCGTGCCTACAATGTTGCAATAAACATATTGCTATCCATCCCCCCATTTGAAATTCTGATAATCCACAAAAGAAAACGAAGTAGAAGTTCTCTAGGTACTAAGAAATCCTTCAACCCCTTGCGAGAGATTCCCTTACACTGTTACACTGCGGATTGGCGGTATTTTGAGACATTGGAGAGGGCTTACTTATGACCTCATAGGTCAGTGATCTGACCTTACCTTATGTCTATGTCTATGTCTACCTACACCTGAAAACGCAATTGGTGCCACAATATCTGGCTTTAATCAGAGGTCAGGTATGTCAGTTTTTAGTGGCTCTATGGCCAACGCGTTCCGAGCGATCGCGAGAAGTGGACAGGCCTCCTCCCGCCTCCTCCCGCCTCCCCGCCTCCTCCCGCCTCCCCGCCTCCTCCCGCCTCCCCGCCTCCCCGCCTCCCCGCCTCCCCGCCTCCTCCCGCCTCCCGCCTCCCCACCTCCTCCCGCCTCCCCGCCTCCTCCCGCCTCCCCGCCTCCCCGTCGACAACGGACCGAGTGCTCGCAGACTTGTGCGAATTAACGGAAATATAAAAACAGTAAAAACAACGACACAGTTCCACTGTTGATGGTATTAATTTATTGATTACCAAATCAGCCTACATGTCAGTGTCCAGTGGCGCGCCGCGCGGTGTGGCAAACTTGTCTCAATAACAGCACATATGTAGACGGACTGCCGTGCGGCGCTGCTCGGCTGGCGGTACGCGTTCTGTGGCTCTGTCTCAACAGGACTCTCTCATCTCTGTGTTCTGTATCAGCAGGACGCTGGACGCTCTGCTGACGTCTGACGGCGCTGCTCTGATGACGTCAGAGGCCGGATCCCTCAGAAGATCTCCTTACGGAAGCGGAGGCCGGGCAGCACCTTGTGAATGCCGTACCGGAATGGGTACGGCCCGTACTGGTAGTCGGTCTGGTACGCGGGCGACTGGTACCCGTACCCGTACCCGGCGCCGTACCTGTACCCGGCGCCGTAGCCGTAGCCGGGCGGGTAGACGCCGCTGTACAAACTGAGGACACGCAGGGGCAGTACAGTCAGTCGCGGCACGGCGTATGCCAACCGGCATCCGCTCCTGCCGATGGGCGGAAACATATTGGCAGCAGCCGACCACAGGAGGGCGCACACGAGTACCGCAGGAGGGCTACACGGCGGGCTACACGGCACGGCGGAGACTGCAGCCGCCCTCCGACTCTCTCTCCCTCCCTTCCTCCCTCCGAACATCCCCATCCAACCCCTGCAGCCGGTCACTGGGTTCGGTGACTCCCATCCCCCAGCCGGTCACTGGGCTCGGTGACTCTCAAGCTCGGCAGGCCTCCCTCGGTCGGCGTAGACGGTACCGCCGCGCCGTGTATCTGTATCTGTATCTGTATCTGTATTTTCGAAAGTACATCCAGTCCATATACACTGGTTTTTCATGACTCGAGTCACATTGGGCTGAGGGTAGGTTCACACAATCGCAAACAAGCTTCCCATCCACTCTGACTCTAATCCACCATCATTCGACAGCAGATCTGTTGCCTCTACCCACTAGATGGCCGCGGAGGCGCAGGCCGTGTATCGTGTACTCTCCCGAGAGCCTGACCGAGTGACGGCCCGCCAGCCACGGCGGCTGTGTCCGCAGCGCGCGCTTACCGGAAGGGTCCGACGCCGAGGTCCACAGACTTGTGCACCAGCGACGGCTGGGTGTCGAGGTCGGCGGCCGGCTCCGGCCGGCCGGCGGTCAGTGTCATCAGCGCAGCCAGCACCGCCTGCCGCGCACCGGGGCAGCGGTCAGCGACACACCGGGGCAGGTCAGCGACACACCGGGGCAGCCGTCAGCGTCACACCGGGGCAGGGCAGCGACACACCGGGGCAGGGCAGCGACACACCGGGGCAGCCGTCAGCGACACACCGGGGCAGGGCAGCGACACACCGGGGCAGGGCAGCGACACACCGGGGCAGGGCAGCGACACACCGGGGCAGGTCAGCGACACACCGGGGCAGGGCAGCGACACACCGGGGCAGGGCAGCGACACACCGGGGCAGCCGTCAGCGGTCAGGTCACAGAGGGCAGCCGTCAGCGTCACACCGGGGCAGGGCAGCGACACACCGGGGCAGCCGTCAGCGACACACCGGGGCAGGGCAGCGACACACCGGGGCAAGGCAGCGACACACCGGGGCAGGGCAGCAACACACCGGGGCAGGGCAGCGACACACCGGGGCAGGGCAGCGACACACCGGGGCAGGGCAGCGACACACCGGGGCAGGGCAGCGACACACCGGGGCAGCCGTCAGCGACACACCGGGGCAGGGCAGCGACACACCGGGGCAGGGCAGCGACACACCGGGGCAGGGCAGCGACACACCGGGGCAGGGCAGCGACACACCGGGGCAGGGCAGCGACACACCGGGGCAGCCGTCAGCGACACACCGGGGCAAGGCAGCGACACACCGGGGCAGCCGTCAGCGGTCAGGTCACGGAGGTCAGCGACGCACCGGGGCAGCCGTCAGCGGTCAGGTCACAGAGGTAGCCGTCAGCCGTCAGGTCACGGAGGTCAGCGACACACCAGGGCAGCCGTCAGCGGTCAGGTCACAGAGGGCAGCCGTCAGCGGTCCGGTCACAGAGGGTAGCGAATAGCGATTACGGTGCAGTGATGAGGAGCAAATGTGTTATATGAAAAGACAAGGCATGTGCGTCTCAATTATCTTACAGTATTAAACATGCGAGCAGATTCGCGGAGCACGACGCTCTCACTGACACCTTCGGGAGGCGTTTGTGGAGAGCTACACGCTGCAGTGTATTAGCTGCGCCGGCGGCTACTCACGTATTTCATCATGGCTGCGACTGGAGAGTGCTGTCCTGCTGCTGCTGGCCCTCGCAGGGGTACCGGTGTCTGGGCGGGTTCTCTTTTTTTGTTTTTTGTTTTGTTGGGTTAGGCCCTTTCGGTCGACAAGACCATTGCAGAGCCGGAAGGATGATAGGAATTAGGGGGAGACATTGGTCTGGGCAGGCACCCTAGTGAGTCGCCGGGGCTGAGCCCGTCCGAAGACAGGCCACCCAGCCCCAAGGCACTCACTGCACCCGGCTACGGGGTGCGCTCCCTTGGGAGCAGCGGTGCCGCTCCAAGGGAGCAGCCCGCATGAGATAAAGTTGCCTGTCCAGCCCGGAAGGGGGTTGCGGTGTGGAGGAGAGGGATTTCAGTATCCTGAGGATAGAAGCACGGATAGGTGATGGGGCGGGTTCTCCCAGCAGCACACATTATATACCGACCCGCAATCAGTGGCGCACTCAGGCACATATATCACGGGGGGCGGGGTATTCCACTGGTCATGGAATATGACAACATTGAGCTTTGGAAAATTTCTACCGAAATGTCTACCTCTTTAAAGCCCAAACCATGGCCGCTGCCGCCGACCAGACCGGCCGCGGCCCTGCCGAGGTGGCCCTGCAGCGGGGCCACGGTGCGGCGGCCCCACTCCCGGCCTGGGTGCGCCGCTGGCCTCCCCGCGGCCCTTTGTGCCGATTGTGCCGATACCCGCCTGGACCGCGGACTGGCCGTAAACACCTGGCAGCCGCCGCCTCTTCTGACCACCGCGCCGGCGCCCACCCACTGCAGCCGCCTCCCACCACCGGCGCCCACCACCCACTGCAGCCGCCTCCCACCGGCGCGCACCCACTGCAGCCGGCTACCACCGGCGCCCACCCACTCCAGCCGGCGCCCACCCACTGCAGCGACTCCCACCAGCGACTCCTTGATTTCCACGCCTGCTCTCGGGAGGGGGGGGGGGTCAAACACCCGGCCTTTTTAACTCGGATCCTGGGTCACGTAGTGACAAGCAGTAAACGGCATTCGAAAGAACGTCCAAAATAAGGGCGAAAATATGACATTCGTTTTATAGGCTAAGTCAAAGGTCATTAAATGAAAGATATTGCCTTTCAATATTTTTTTAACACCGACACACAACTCGGGAGCCAATTATATAGAGCTATACAGCGCCGCGGAAAATATTAGATAGCCCTTTTGACCCTTTCGGTGACCCTTCGACGGTGCCACTGGTCACTTCCACTCACCTTTGAACAAAACATGCTCAAGCTGTGTACACTTCAGTCGTGCAGACGCCACGGACCCTGCGTGCGAATATATCATAATTCCGCTCCTTTTTGATAGCGCAGGGCGCTCAGCTGTCAGGCTCAGTTGTCCGACGATCCGTGTCCCTCGACCTCGGAAGTCCTTTATCCTCGTGGGCATGACATGGCGTGCCCTCCCCTCGGCCTCATCAAAACATTACCGGCAATGACACGGTCCCACTCAAGAAGTCCCGCCGCGGACCTATCCCCAGGCGCCACCGGAGTGGGTTTTGACGTCACAAAAGGAGCCCCGACGGATTGGAGGGGACGCTAACTGGCCGCCGGCCGGGGGCGGCGCTGAAGGGTGCGGGCAGGGGCCGGCCGAGTCCTGGAATGTACTAGATTTGCCAGACACGTGTTGCCAGCGGACAACCACGGCGACCACTTGGTATGCCATTGGTCGTCTTTATGAGGGTCGCCGATCGGCCGTCCGAACGATGGTCGAACGACGCAGTATATAGGTACTAAATAGCTACGGGGAGTTGGAATATGTCTGTAGCTACCAGGAAATTTTCCACTGGGATGCCGCCGCGTACGGGAGGTAACGGACTCGAGAACTGCGTGAGTAGATGTGATGGGGAGGGACAGATAATGGTTTGCGTGGGCAGAGGCGATTGGGTTGCGTGGGCAGAGGTGGATGGATTGTGCGCTTCTAACCGCATTAAGCGGAAGGAGTTTATCAGTTCAGGCGCTACGCGCGGTCGCCATAAGATCGTCTTATCGGTTGTCGTCGACAACGACAAAACGATACAATTTTTCAGCATGTACCGACGTCCAGCCGAAGTCCAGCCGACGTCGAGCCGACGTCGGGCCGAGGTCGTTTGCCGAGGTTGACGAGATCGTTTGTCGTTGGACCGACGGGGCCGACGTCGGCATGTTTACTGAAACAACGCGCCAAAAATATCAACCGGCGGCGGGATTCGAACCCCCCAGTCGCCGACGTCGGCATGTTTACTAGGACAACGCGCCAAAACCATCAGCCGGCGACGGGATTCGAACCCCGTGACGTATGAGCGCGCTAACCACTACACCACGCAGCCAGATGGCGATTTTAGTTTGTTTTGTTGGGTTATGCCCTTTCGGTCTGACAAGACCATTTCAGAGCCGGAAGGATGATAGGATGGAGACATTGGTCTTGGCGAGCACCCTGCGTCCAGTTCATATAGAGTCCCATTGCTGTTACGTGACACTTATTGGAAAGGGCGACCCCACAAATGGATTTATATAGCCACCCTTACACACCTGCACCAACGTTTTCAAAAGTGTCCCTTTGATAAGTGGCACTTTGGCAAAGTGACACTTGCCGACTGACCTTTCTATATGAATTGGGCCCGGCCCTGGTGAGTTGCCGGGGCTGAGCCTGACCAAAGGATAGGCCGAGCAGCCCCCAAGCACTCACCGCACCCGGCAGAGGTGAAAAACCTGCTTCTCGCCTGCGTGCGTAGGTGACAGCCGTAGGCATAAAGAGACAGATTCGAGCATCTCAGTTGATGCATTTAAAATAGATAACTAGTCCGTTTCCGCTAAAGCCAGAGCTGTCTTCCCATAGAGGGCCACTATGGACCACGGCACAAAAATTTAACAGCGTCATCTCTTTGTAGACAGCTGGGGCTGAAAAATCCCGCCGGTGCGACAGCCGGTGCGTTGTGAAGCCCCATAGACAACGCAGGAAAAACGGCGACAGCGCGACAGCTCGTCCCCGCTCGTCGCCGGTTGAACGGTGGCGGGGACCGGCGCGGCCGGCGCGGTCTTGGCCGCCGCCGGAGTAGGGAAGGACCGGGCGACTGGGACGGGGGACGTCACATCTGGGCCACAACTGGGGTGAGGTCCATGACCATCGGTCCCAGAAACTTGGTAGGAGCGTTGATAATTGGTTCTGACTACTGAAGCAAAGACAAGTGAATCAGTGACAACTGACAATCCTTTCGTGAGTTCTGATCGAACTGGATCAGGAAGCCAGGACGAGCTAGGACGTCGATCAGACCTATAGGTAAGTAGGATGGTAGTGATTTATTTTTGTTGTGTTGTGTCACTGAAATGTGGTGATGCGTTGTCCCGTGTCCGAAATCTGAAAGGTCCGAAGTTTGAAAGGTTCCAGAGTCCGAAATTCGAAAGGTCAGTTTCTTAACCCGCGCGGGGCTGGGGTCTCCAGCCGAACGCGCGGGGCTGGGGGGGGGTAAATTTTACCCCCCTGTTATCTCCCAAACTAATGGTCCGATTTGGAAAATTCAAACGCCAATCGAAAGCTCTCATCACGAACTACTAAAAACATGTACTTAATTTAAAGTTTGAGGTCAAGGTCAAGGTCAGGTCAAGGGTACAAATTGCAAGTTTCTACAGTATCGGCCTTGCACCGTAGTTGCCGAAGAATGGAGTCATGGACTGAGACTGATCGCCCAAAACGTGTTCTTAGGCTACCAAGACAATATTCGTTGCATACAATATCATTCAGAGGTCAAGGTCAAGGTCAGGTCAGGTCAGGTCAGGTCACCAAAAAACAAAATATAGAAAAGGGCATGTGCGACACATGTTTTATGGGTCATTTTACTCATAGAATTCAATAGGCACACTCAATAAGTGATATGGACCACCTCTGGATGAATTTCAGGTCGAGGTCAGGTCAAGGTCAGGTCAAAAGAGGTCAAATTTTGAAGTTGGTTGTTAAGGCCTAAAAAGGTGTCTATCTGATGCAGTTTTTCACGGCGAATCGAATGGTGCTATTTTTGTTTCCGTACGAGGTCTAGAACTTCCAAAAAAGTATTTTTTCAAAAATTTTGTGTGTCGTGACGTCACAAAATTTTGAATAACTCCCACATTTTTGAACCGATTCTTCTAAAAATTGGTATGTAGGTGCACATAGACCACTTCTCTGACATATATTCCGGTTTTTTCGATAGACTCAAAATTTTGGATTTTATAATGATTTTCCCAAAAAAGTCAGTTTTTTGAAAAAATTTAGGCCAAAATCCAAAATTTTCAAAAAACCGAGATAGCCATTTGATAGACAAAGTAAAATTACGTATAACCTTTTTTGTTACGTCTTGATTCCTTTAAAAATGAAGATGTTAGCGGCGTTTGAACTTTTGCCGTTTTTGAGGCGAAAATGGCGAACATGACGTCACTAAAACGTCAATTTCTCAAAAATTTTCCGACGGATTTCGCTCAAATTTTTAGGGAACGTGTCAAATTGATGTAAGAAAAGGTACTGAAAGTTTGGCGGCGCTGCGCGCCGCCGTTTTTGAGATATCGCAAAAATTCGCGAGGGGGGGTAAAATTTACCCCCCCCCCAGCCCCGCGCGGGTTAACATTCCAGCCTCATTTTCAATTTTTTAGGCCTAAAGAGGTGATGAGAAAACGTCAAAAAGTACCTTCTGTTGCAATATTATTTGTAAAAAAAAAAAATGGTGGTAGCTAGACATAGCGTAGGTGACAGCTTTTGAATTTTATTCACCTCTGGCACCCGGCTACGGGCGAGATCGGCTTACGGACAATCCCAAATGGGATAAAGTTTCCCGTCCAGTCCGGATCAGGGGGAATTGCGGCGTGGAGGAGGATTTGACTTTCCTGAGGATATTTTGAATACAGAAGTTCTTTATAAAACATGAAACATGCATTTTTTATTATTTTAACGGTCAAAACAGCGGCCGATGTCGGTCCGACGTCGGCCCGGGATCGGCTGGACCTCAGCAATTGATCTCGGTCCGACGTCGGCCCGACGTCGGCTGGACCTCGGCTGGACGTCGGTACATGCGGGCGTACCCGACATCAAGCCGACGTCGTGCCGAGGTCGGACAGACGTCGGCATGTT